CTGTGAGCTAGGCTGACGCCATCGCACTCACTCTAGCCCGGGCAACAAAGCGAGACTCTGTCTCAAAAAAAAAAAGAATGATGGGACTATAGCAAAAGGACATAGAAGCCAGTTGGAAGGGGCTCTTGTTGATTGAATCAAGGACAGTAAAAGCGTCAATATAATGATGGTAATGGATAACAGCCCATTACATAAATGGTAATCCATAAATCCATACCAATATAAATGAATGAATAAGTGGTGAGAGAGAAAGATTTCTTTATAGTGGAATGTGACAAATAATACATGTAGAGAAATGACTGTATTATAAAATCACCATTTGGCAACCTTGCTAGATTATATAATAGTAATAATTTAGCAAGAAACATCAGAGAACACTATAACAAGTTAATCAAAGTTTGGTGGGAAATGGAATATTTATGTAAGCTCCCCACAAAATACACACTGACAGAGGAAAAGAGAACAGTGGAAAATCCTGACATCAGCTACCACCTTAATCAAGTGATCTAAGTTATCACTAATAATGTGACACACAGAAACCGTGTACCACCTGATAGGATGCAGTGAAAAGAACACAGCATTAATTCTGTGATATTCCTGCCAAAAGCATATGGCCTGGATCTAATCATGAGGAAACATCACACAAACTCAAACTGTGAAAATTTTACAAAATAACTTGTCTGTAAATCTTCAGAAACATTATGAAAGTCCAGGAAAGACTGAGGAAGTGTTCTAGACTGAGGAAGACTGAAGAGACATGATAACTAAATGCAATGTGCAATCCTAGACTGGATCCTTTTGCTATGAAGGACAAAATAATGAAACTTGAATGGGACCTGTGGATTATATGGGAATAATACATCAACATTAATTTCCTGATTTTGATAGTTTATAATTATCACATAGAAGAATGTCCTTGTTGTAGGAAAGACTAAAGTATTCAGGGGTCATGGGACATCATGACAACAACCTACTCTCAAGTAAAACAGGAAATAAATTATTTGCATATGCTTGCCACTTTTCTATAAGTTGGAGATTACTTCCAATTAAGGAGAAAAATAATAATGGAAAATGAAGGTATACGATATGGGTTTTTGTATGTATCACCAAATCATCCTTCAAAAGTTGTTAGCCATTTATACTTCCCAAGGACAGTGTATGAGAACAAACTTAAATCGAAATTTTATTTATTAAATCAAAAAAACCACTTTTCCTTATAGGTGAAAAACCATACTTGTTTTCAAAAAAACATTTATGGGGCCAGCCTCGGTGGCTCACACCTGTAATCCCAGCACTTTGAGAGGCTGAGGCAGGAATGCTTGAGCCCAGGAGCTCTAGACTGGGTGACAGAGTGAGACCTTGTCTCTAAAAAAAAAAACAAAACAACAACATTTATAAGCTCAGAAAGGAAACTGGAAGGATACACCCCAAACTGATGACAATGGGTATTTCTGAAGAGAAGGTGGAGCAGGGAGAAGGTGAAGGAGACTTTCACGGTTTATACCGTTTACTTGCATATTGTTTGAATTTTTTTCCTTAAGAATGTATTTATTTATTACCTTCAAAATAAAAAAGAAGACAAAATAGCATTGAAGGAGATGGCTGTTTCTTAGGAACTCTAAGAATAGAGTTTATATTAATAATATCGTCTCTGAATTTCCTGATACTGTATGCAAAGTTGGTGTATATGTGTATGATGAGCATTTTCCTGATAATATGGTCAACAGCTTTCATCGAATGCCCAAAGAGAACCACTGCTTATACCTCCCAATAGGGTGGGAATTTCTGTATATGAACTAGGTCCTTATTAGGAAGATCCTGATTCTTTGCAGGGACATTTAGTCCAGTATTTTGGTATAGTGATGCTATCTTTCCATCATTGTTGAGTTAAAGCCTTTAAATCTTACAGACATATGGATTTTTTTTTTTGTTTTTTTTTAAAGAGACAAGGTCTTGCTGTGTTGCCCAGGCTGGAGTGCAGTGGCATGATCATAGCTCACTGCAGCCTTGAACTCCTGTGCTAAAACAATCCTTCCACCTCAGCCTCCCAAGTAGCTAGGTGTGCGCTACCAAGCTGGCTAATTTTTTAATTTTTGTAGAGACAGGGTTTTGCTATGTTGCCCAGGCTGTTCTCAGACTCCCAGCCTCAAGCGATCCTTCTGCCTCAGCCTCCCAAGTGGCTGGGACTATAGGTGTGTGCTACCACACCCAGTTAATTTTTTCTATTTTTTTGTAGAGCTGAGGTCTCACTCTTGCTCAGGCTGGTCTTGAACTCCTGGCCTCAAGCAATCCTCCATCTTGGCCTCCCAAAGTGCTGGGATTCACAGGCATGAGCCACTGTATCAGGCCCTGACATCAGGACTTGGTCTTCCTTACCGGTGAATTCATATTTAGCACAGGACATGTCAATAGTTGATTCCAGGTCAATTTCAGAAATGTGAGAAAGCCAGGTCCGGAAATCTTCAAACAAAATTTTCCTAGAAATGTAAATAAAAGATAACTTGTTATGCCAGTGTGGGGTCTGTTTGAATCTAGGCCACAACTGTTCTTTCCTAGAGGTCACATTTTATTCAATAGATCCATTCTCAGATCTCATTCAGGAGATTCTGAGAAATGTTTCTCAGTTTAAACTTGAATAGTTTTAAGACTCGGATTTTCAGAGAAATAAATGTAAATCGGCCGGGCGTGGTGGCTCACGCCTGTATTCCTAGCACTCTGGGAGGCTGAGGTGGGAGGATTGCTTGAGGTCAGGAGTTCAAGACCAGCCTGAGCAAGAGTGAGACCCCCATCTCTACTGAAAATAGAAAAAAAATTAGCCAGTCAACTAAAATTAGAAACAAAAAATTAGCTGGGCATGGTGGCTCACAGCTGTAGTCCCAGGTACTCGGGAGGCTGAGGCAGGAGGATCACTTGAGCCCAGGAGTTTGAGGTTGCTGTGAGCTAGGCTAACACCACGGCACTCACTCTAGCCCGGGCAATAAAGCGAGACTCTGACTCAATAAAATAAAAAAAAAAAAAAAAAAAAAAAAAAAAAGAAATAAATGTAAATCTCTATCTACTATGGCATATTTTTGTTCTAATGTTTCCTTTTATATTTTTAGTATTCTCTTCCTCCTAAATTTTTTTTTTTTCTTTTTCTTTTTGAGACAAGGTCTTGCTCTGTTACCCAGCTAGAACTCATGGGCTCAAACAGTCCTGCCTTAGCCTCTCAAAGTTCTGGGATTATAGGCATGAGCCACTATGTCTAGCCCCATAAATGTTTTTTTGAAAACAAGTTTGGTTTTTCACCTACAAGGAAAAGTGTTCTTTTTGATTTAGGTTTGCCAGAGTGCCGTGGTGTCATCACAGCTCACAGCAACCTCAAACTTGGGCTCAAGCAATTCCTCCTGCCTCAGCCTCCCAAGTAGCTGGGACTACAGGTGTGCGCCACCATGCCCAGCAAATTTTTTCTTTTTTTTTGTAGACATGGGGTCTCGCTCTTGCCTCAGACTGGTCTCAAACTCCTGGCCTCAAGCAATCTTCCATCTCAGCCTCCCAAAGTGCTGGGATTACAGGCTTGAGCCACTGTGCCCAGCCCCTCCTAAATGTAAAGTATGCACTATCATGGCAGCAGTTTGGCCTTTGTCATTAACAACTTATCATACCAATATTCTATTCCAAATTACTGATTTTCAGACATGTTTCCCAGCACTAAAATGGAAAGCTCAATTGTTTTCTTTACACATTTCACTTCTAATACCAAATGTGTGGGTTTTTTCCCCACACTGACCAGTTCTCTGACACCAGTTGGGTATCTTACGATTCAATTCTGACACTATCTACCACGGGTTAGCACAAGTTAAGAGCTTAGTCCTACAAGACTGCCACCGCCCCGCCCCCTGCAAACACACACACCAATTGTTAAGTCCAGCAGTTAACAGAAAAAACACCAAACCCTGTAAAATAATTTAAAGAGGATTCATTTTGAGCTGAGTATGTGTGACCGACAGCCTGAAGCACATGGTTTCAAGAGGTTCTGAGAAAATGTGCTTGAGGTAGCCAGGTTACAGTTTGGTTTTATACATTCACGGAGACAGGAATTATATGTAAAATAATAAATCACTACACGGAAGGTGCATATTGGTTTGGCCTGAAAAGGCAGCACATCTTGAAGGGGTTTATAGGTTATAGGTGGGTTTAAAGATTCTTTGATTCCTAATTGGTTAAATAAGTGAAGCTTTGCCTAAAGACTTGGAATGTTTTAAGATAAGGAAGTTTGTTAATCAGAGAGAAGCCACCCACATAGACCCAGACTCCAGTGATCTGTTAAGTAAACTGATGGCCTGCAGGTGTGGTTTAACCCGTCTTGCCTGTTAATGATTTAGTATCTTACTGTTACAAAGAATAACTCCAAAAGGAAGGGGGCATAACAGGGCTTGCCTGACCTCCCTTCTCAAGGCTGGCAACTCAGCTTTAAAGTTTTTCTGGGGTCACCCTTGGCCAACAGGGGGTCCATTCAGTCAACTGGGGGGCTTAAGATTTTACTTTAGCTCATACTAGGTTGTGACCTGTGCTTCTAACCAAAGGCTATAAAATCAGAGGTTCCCACAACTTCCCCCTTGGGTTTGATAAATTGCTAGTGATATGGGGCGGGGACTTCTCTTAGGGGCCTGCCAGGTTCCCCAGCATGGAAATAAAGGAAAATCTTGACTGAGTCCCTTTTAGGGAAGTTGCAGGCACCTGGCTAGCCTTGAAAACTGAATGGCAACCTGATGAGAACAATGGCCCTCCAAGTAAGCCAGAGTCAGGAGGTGTTTTGGTGTCCCATGGAAACTAAAATAGGCATCTTAGCATCTTAACACGTGTTCTTGAGTTGTTTTTCAGAAACCCCCATGGATGGAAAATGCAGATAGGGAGAACTAAGGAACTGAACTCTGATCTCCATTCTTTGTTCTGAATTTCTGCCTGAGGGGCCTGCCCCACCATCCTAACGTTCCTTTCCACTAATACAGGAACGTCTGAATCCACCTATGACCCCTCCATTTCAAGATATCCACCCTTTTGGGCCAGGCCAATGTATTACTTCCACTTATTGATTTACAGTTTTGCCTGCCTTAAAAAACCCTGGCTTGTAAGCCACTGGGGAGTTTGGGTCTTAACCATTAGCTGCTCATACTCCTTGCATGGCGCCCTGCAATAAAGATGCCCCTTTCCCCAGCTGCAACTCTTAGCTTCAGTATCTGGCTTTATCTCACTGGGTAAGCAGACTCCAGTTTTGTTCAGTAACACTAGAATGCCTCAGAACGCAGGAACACAGTTTGCTTACTCGATTACTGGTTTATTATAAAAGGATACAACATGGGAACAGCCAGATGGAACTGCCCACCCAACATGTGGAAAATGGTATCTCCAGTGTTAATTTGTGTTTCCTTGGTTACGAACAATACAGAACATTTTAACATTGAGAACTTGAGTCTTGGAATCAGACAGACTTGGGTTTGTATCCTAGTTCCCTTAATTTTAAGCTAGGGAAACGTAATTTATCAGTCTGTAAAATGGGATAATAATGTCAACAAAGATTACAATGATATAACATTTAAAGCACTTAACTGGTCTGCCTGGCACATATTAGGCATCCAACAAATATGATTACTTGTTTACCTTAAAGCAGAGATATGAGGCTCTTTTCTTTTCTTCAAATCATCAGACTTGATCATGCAATAAGAAAAAAAAAAGGATTTTCTTCATATATTAGACACACAAAAGACAGTAGTTTAGTGAGTTACTCTGGCATTACAGCATTGTAGTTAAGGGCCTAGACTATGAAGCCAGACTGCCTAAGTTTGACAAAGGGCCCCTCCATTTGGTGGCTCTGTGACTTGGGCAAGTTATTTAGCCTTTCTGCCTTATTCACTGAACAAATAAGTAGTTATTATAGTGAAGTTTATATGCTTGTTGAGGGAGGTAGACAACAAACACAAAAAGTGTTAGTATAAAGAAGGTGGTAAGTACATAGGGGAAAAAACAACAGGAAAAGAAGGATGCGGAGTACTGAGAGGGGAAGTGGTCTGCAATTATAAATAGGGTGGCCAAGGCAGACTTCAGTGAGGTGAAGCAAAGACTTGAGGGAGGCTGGGAAGAATGGCAAGGGAATATCAGGCAAAAAGCATTCAAGGCCCTGAGCGTGAATGCATGCCTGGCCTATTCCAGCTATTTCCAGGGGACTGTGTAGCTAGAGCAGACAGTGAGGAGGAGAGCAGTAGGAGATGAGGCCAAAGGGGTAATGGGCGCCTTAGAGCCATTCTACATATCTTGGCTTTTACTGCAAGAAATTGGAGCCATTGGAGTTTTTGAGCAAAGAAGTAACATTTTTTTGAGATAAAATTCACATAACATAAAATTTACCATTTTAACCATTCGAAATTGAAAGTGTGCAATTCAGAAGATTTTAGTATATTCACAATGTTGGGTAACATCAGCACTATTTAATTCCAGAACGTTTTAACATTCCAAAAAGAACCCCTCCCCCTGTACCTAGTAGTCAGTCACTCCCCATCCTCTCCTTGCCCCAGCTCCTGGCAACCAATAATCTACTTTTTGGCTAAATGTATTTGCCTATTCTAGATATTACATATAACTGGAGTCATACAATATGTAGCCGTTTGTGACTGGCTTCTTTCACTTAGCTTAATGTTTTCAAGGTTCATCCATATTGCAGCAGTTACCGGTACTTCATTCCTTTTCATGGCCGAATAACATTCCATTGTGTGGGCATTCCACATTTTATACACTTTGGTGTTTATCCATTCATCAGTTGATGGACATTTGGGTTGTTTCCACTTTTTGGCTATTATAATGCTGCTATGAACACCTGTGTTTTTATGTAAACATATGTTTTTCAATTCTCTTGGCTCCACTTACATTTTAAAAGAACGTGATGACTGTGGCTGTATAGGTGGGTGGCAGTAGAAGGGAAACTGGATGATACACTAATAGAATAATCATGGTGAGAGACAGACAGCTCAGACCAGGTGTTGGCTGTTGGCAGCGGAAGCTGTAAGAAGTGGGTTTTTCTGGATATACAATTATGTGTCACCTAACAACAGGACATATTCTGATAAGTTCGTTAAGAGATTTCTCATTGTTGGAACATTATGGAGCGTACTTACACAAACCTAGACGGCATAGCCTATTACACATATGACAGTATAGCCTATTGCTTCTAGGCTACAAACCTGTATAGCATGTTACTGTACTGAATACTGTAGGCAATTGTAACACAATGGTAAGTATTTGTGTATCTAAACACAGAAAAGGTACAGTAAAAATGAGGTATTATAATCTTTTGGGACCACCACTGTATATGTAGTCCATTGTTGACAGAAATGTTGGTATGCAGCGCCTGCCAGTATTATGAAGGTAGAGACAGAATCTCCCAGTGGACTAGATATAAGATGTAGGAGAGGAATCAAGGATGACCTCATTTTTGGCATGAGCCACTGGAAACATGTTGCCATTAACTAAGATGGGGGAGACTGCAGGAGGAGCAGATTTAGGGGGAGAAGACCAGGAGTTTAGTCTTGGACTTAAATGTGAGACACTTACTAGAGATCCAAGAGGAGAGGCAAAGCCATGAGACTCCATGGAAATTTGTGCACCATAGGGAAGTGGTCCAAGGATTAGGCCCTAGAGTACTCTATCATTAAGAAGTCAGGTAGAAGAGGAAAACCTAGCAAAGGAAACTGAGAAGAAATAGCCAGTGGGGTAGAAGAAAAACCAAGAGAGCATGGTAACCTGAAAGTAAAGTGAAAAAATGTCTCCAGGAGGAAGGAGTGAAATAGTAGGACAAATACTGCTGATAGGTCAAGGAAGGACTAAAAACCGGTGTTCAGATTTACTAATGTGGAGGTTACAAGTGACCTTGACAAGTGTAGTTTCAGTGGAGATGTAGAGGTGAAAGCCTGATTAAAGTGGGCTTACCAGAGACTGGGAGGAGAGGAATTTAAGACAATACAGGCAACTCTTACAAGGAATTCTGCTGTCAAGAGGAGCAGAAGAATGGGGTGGTAACTGAAGGGGAAAGTTAGGTCAAGAACTTTACTTTTTCTTATGATGAAAAGAACAGTTATTTTGTATGTTAAAGGGAATGATCTAGAGGGAAGGAATAACTGATAGTTTCCTCATCTGTAAAACAGAAAGTGCAATACACTTCTTTCTTGGGTTGTTATGAAGAATTAATAAATATAGAATATTGGGCAACTACTAATGACAGACTTGGTTAGGGGGATTGGAAGATGTCAGAGACCCAGTTATCAAGTCATTTCATACCACAAGCAAAGAAAAGGGATATGGATGAGGATTGAAGGGGCAGGAGACTGAGAACAGGTTTTATATCTGCTATCTTAGGGTGAAGAGTTCCTATCCAAAAGTGATCATGGTAAAATTATTCACAGCAGTTTCACCAAACTGCTGTGATCCAAAGTAATGTGGATCCAAAGTAATGGCTGTTCTTTTTTTTTTTTTTAAATCACCCAGAGTCCTTTTTATTATCTTGCCTCTCATCTACTTCACAATGAAGTATTTTCATCTACCAAATTGCATTAAGTAAAAACCACTTTGATGTCTCAATTTTAGTAATCAGAGATGCATACAGCCCTAAATCAACAAGAAGCCAAGTGTTTGATAATTACAAAGGCAGACAACTGAAGTTTTTAATGAACCTGTGCAACCTTACTCTGGATAATTTAATTTTCATTATATTTCCTGAATTATTAAGAGTCACATCATTCATGTGTTTAACCTGGTTAATTCAATGGTACATATAAAGTCCAAAGACACACAGATTGGAGAAGGGCAGGATACAACCAGCTGACCAAATGATCGGCTTTAGTGTAAAAGACTAAAAGAGAGAGAAATCTGTTATTTACTTTTATCCCAGATAAAATCGTATGGGAAAATGCAAAGAAAACAAAATAATTCATCTTTATTTTATTTTTTTTGCAATTTTAAACACTAACGTCCTTGACGTTTTTCTAACGGATTTCTAAGAGTGATGTACTCTATGTACTGAAAGATATATCCCCATCCATTACCACCCCTACTTTTTAAAAGTCTTACAGGGAAGGAATTGTCAAAGTCTCCATATAATAATTATAGCAGCCAACACACAGTTAACACTCAGTAAGCTTAGGTTAAATGAAAGAATACTTTTAACAATGTCAAGGTGAGGACCTTCCAAGGCAAATCCAACCTAAAACCTCTAAAGGTATTGAGTGATTTTATAGACAAAGAATTTTTGAGGTGGAATAGCTAATGTGACAGGGGAATAAATACCTGCTGGAACTTATATAAATCATTATACTTTTCATGGAAGTTCAAGTTCAAAAGTTCCTTCTGAAGCTCTTCCAAGAAGTCTTGGCTTTGAATGAAACTTGGGATCTGGCAGTGAAGAAAGGGGTCCATGTCCATGACAATGGCTTCTGTTGGAAGGAAAACATTATGCTATGGCTTTTTTCCGTTTTGTATTTTATTTCTGACCCCCCAAGTAACACAGCAGAAAGAATACAAAAGGAGATGGTCATGAATCTGGGGGAAGCTAACATTTAAAGTCTAAGATTTGGGGGAAGATTTATAAGCTCTCCCCTTTCTTCCTTACCCACTCAATGCTACTTTTTAAAGATACTGTGTTTAAAATACTAGTCCTTAAGATGAGTACAGGTAATGTCACTAAACCAGGGTTCCTACTCTTTTTTTTTTCTGAGTTTCAATGATTATTTATTGAATTGAATGTATTTTAGATTCTTAATTCATTTTCCCCAAACTTACAGTACAAAATTAAATGAGAGTAGCAACACTGGCTGGTAATTTCTCTTTAATCCTGCTTTTTCTTTTCCCAAGTTACTGTTGGAGGGATTTACTATATACTAGTATATCTTTTTTTTTTTTTTAAATCAATTCGGGCATAACCACCTCTGATTCCTTGATTTCTACCCCAACATTTTACTCACTGCCTCTGACAGGCTAGATACCACCCCTGTAATAATTACCACCTCCCAGGTGCCAGGCCCACTGGTGCTTTACAAGCATTATCTCATTTCATCTTCTCAACAACTCTAAGGTAGACATTATCATTATACCCATCCTACAGACGAAGAAACTGAGAAGTCTCTTGAGAGCACAGAGCTTGCATTTTAAACATTAAGCTATCACTTTCTATGTGTATCCAGCATGCCCTGGATGCACCTCTTCAAAGCACTTCACCACTAAAACAAAAATCAGGCCAAACTTTAGAAGGGAATGCATGACGCATTATCTTATAAGGTGGTATTTGAAGTTGAGGCTGGAATCGTTCGATGTAGGTTCCTTCCCTCGGTCAAAAGGCATTTATTTTCATAAGTCATTTAGTTGAACTACAGGTACGTAAAAAAACAGGTAAGCTCAGGAGCCTAATGTCTGGCAGCTCACAAGAAATGCTCTGGGCTAGACTGCCATGGGACAACGGAGCATCACCTTTAGAGGAAAAATTATATAAGCCGTTCAAATATTTGTCCAAATGCTTATTTTTGTTTTGTTTTGTTCGAGACAGTCTTGCTCTGTCCCCCGGGTAGAGTGCAATGGCGTGATCACAGCTCACAGCAGCCTCAAACTCCTGGGCTCAAGCGATCCTCCTGCCTCAGCCTCCCGAGTAGCTGGGACTGCAGGCATGCGTGTGCCACCACGCCCGGCTAATTTTGTCTATTTTTGGTAAAGACGGGTCTCGCTCTTGTTCAGGCTGGTCTCGAACTCCTGACCTCAAGCGATCCTCCCACCCAGGCCTCCCATAGTGTTAGGATTACAGGCGTGAGCCACCACCCCCGGCCTCCAAATGTTTATTAGTCCTTACTCAGGGAAACATTTCTTGATGCCTACAAACTTATTAATCCTATTCAGCATCTTTCTTAGGTAAATACTATTAACTACTCCATTTTACTTAAGAAGGAACTGAAGTTTAAAGAAGTTCAATCTATTGCTCAACGCAAAATCAGTGGAGGGGATTCTAACTCATTAATCTCTCATTCCAGGATTCACCTATCAACTTCCCGAAACTCTCCGGCCTATGTTTCTTCCTCTTCTCAGGTTTCTAAATTCAAACTGAATTTGGAATCAAAGGGAGCAGCAGCCGAGACAGGGGGTCGGAGGTGGCCAAAGTCCTCGAGGAACCTCCTTCTCCCCTGCGGCCCCGCTGCCTAGGGCTCGGCTCTATTCCCAGGTTGCCTTCAGAGGCCCCAGACACCTGCGCGGCGGCTGCTCCCTCACAGCACCCGGTTACCGTGACTGAACGGCGTCCTACGTCTCCAAGCCTCTGCCACCTGCTTTTTCAAGGTTTCCTCCGTGACAGCGGCCGAAAACTCCGCCATCATCTCCTTCTTTCCCTTTTTTCCCACCCGGGCAGGGCCAGGCTCAGCTGGCCGTTTACCACTCATCTCCTCATAAGGTATACAGCCACGCCACACTGAAGAGGCTACTTTCCTACGGAGACTACAATCCCCAGAATGCCCCTTTCCAGTGCCCCAGCGCTACCCAATGGGAAGTAACAAAGTAAGAGGAGGCGGAACCTGTGCCTGGCTTACCAATGGAAGCTTCAGATATTGCAGCCATCCCACCAACGATTGGTCCAATGGCGCTTGGTCGGATAGGCCACCGCCTATCTACTTCCTGCCGCCAGAAGCGTTGGATGCACTTCCGGCGTGCGTACGCCTCCTCTTGCGCTCTCCTGTTAATGGCGGGCGGCGGCTGCTGAGCGGTTTGCAGATAACCGCTGCCCGCACGGGGAAAGTCTGCCCTGCCTTCTACTTTCTGTTCGCAGCCGGTGCCGGAGCTCGCCAGCATGTCTGTGGTACCGCCCAATCGCTCGCAGACCGGGTGGCCCCGGGGAGTCAATCAGTTTGGCAACAAGTACATCCAGCAGACCAAGCCCCTCACCCTGGAGCGCACCATCAACCTGTAAGTGCGGCCCGACCTTCGCGCGCGTCCTTCACCAGCATCCCTCTCTTCATGAGCGCTCCTAAAGACTCTTAATTTTTCCGGCGGCTTTACGCCTTCCTCACCAGCCCCGCTCTGGTTGCGGATGCGCGCCTTCCTTGCTCCCACAGGCTCTTTTCTCGTCCTCCAGCCCCAAGGGATTAGAATCCTATTTGACGGTGTTAGATTCCTTTTCTGAAAAGAGGACTTGTTCCCATTCCCCTGTATTCAGTGATTGTGGGTAAAACCGAAGTTTGCTTTGAACTCGATGCTTTCCACACCTCTCCAGAGGTAACCAACTTAAAAATGTGGTTTTTATCTTTCCAGTCCGATGCTTAACGCTTTTACATCACTTACGTGGTATGCTTTGTGTGTTTTCATTTGATATGAGTGTTATAACGCAGTGTCATTTTTGCAGTTTTTACTTAACTCTAACAGCTTTCGAGATCTATCTATAATGCCTAGGTCTAGTTTTTACCTTTTAAGTGCTATATAATATTTCAGCTTATGACTACATCACGTTTTATTCATGTGCTCAGGGCTATCTGTCCTGCCTTATGCATTCATCTGTCTTCTCTGCAGCAGTGACGGTATCCCAGGTACCCAGTAGGCCCCAGCTTGGGAGTGTGGATGCTGTTATGGTTGGGCTATCAGACTGGAGGGAACTAGAATGTTGACCCAGAGAACCCACTGTGGACGGTTTTATTTTTCGACACTTTCCGTTTAAGCACTTACAGCCATTGTATTTCAAGGATGCGCTCAAAAGTAATCTTGATGTAGCAGATAATTGGCGTTTGGGGTGTGTCTTGCTCAAGAAATTGTCAGTATGCTTTTTTTTTTTTTATCGTGTCTGGAGTTTGTTTTTGAGACTGTGTAGTGCACACCCTGATGGAGGAAAGTGGCCAGTTCATGCCAGTCAGTGTTAACGGAGTGCAAATATTTGCTTTTATTGGTGTTTGGATATGACACTTTAGGTGTTTCTCTGTTTTACATTCAAATAAATGAAATTTTTTCCCCTCAAAACCAAAAGCGATTTGAAACTGAAGAGATGTTTATTATCATTGTTTTGTTTTGCAAAACAGGTGCTGGCTTGGAAATTTAGATAATAGAAATGTTGGGTTTATAAAATATGAAATTAGTTGATAATAGGGTGATTACAAATTAATCCCTGTAGCTATTATGTTAACATAGTAGCATTTTAATTTCATACCGCTTTTAAACAAAATCTTCGTAAGATTCCCATCAAATGGAAAAGGCAAATATTTTCCTTTTAAAAAGTGAATACACAGCTTCTGGATTACTTTCCGTGGTGATCAGAACTAGCACCCACAGTTACTTCTTGTTTTGCCTTGATTACTTGATTAATTTGCATAGCTATTATGTGGAATTAACGTGGTGAAACAGTTATGCTTTCAGCAAAATGTTTTAATGTTTGATGTATTAAAGTTATGCTTGATTTACAGTACATTTTCTAGTCTATATAAATACAGTAGTTAGAAATAATCAGTGAATTGTGAACTTCACTTTATCTGGGTGAGTAATGATCTGTTAAATTGAAAACAAATCTCTCTCCCAGTGTTATTTTCTTTTAGGAAATATTGCATGAATGCCTACTGTCTACCAGGCACTGTGCATCATACGAGGTATACAGTGGAGAGGGCATAAGATGTAGACCCTATCAAGCTCACAGCGTGATAAGAATATACATAGATCCGGGCTGCCTCTCTGATTTCACAGTTTAAAATTCTGACATTTCGTCTTGATATCTCCTTACTGATATAGGAACTGGCTCTTGCAGTAGAGATGTGTTATGGCTATCATTAATTCTCTCTAACTCAGGTTGTCAGAACTAAATGTTAATATACGTAATAAAAAATTGCCCCGCACATAGTGCTGTGTGACATAACTGCTGCTGCTAACGGTGATGGTATTAGGTATAGCACCGGGTCTACTGGGGAAGTTCTTTATAATCTTTAAAGCATCCTGGGTGGAAATGGTATATTATAGTTATTTTCGAGCTGCTTCATTTAGGTCTAGAATTTGGCTTCTAGAATTTAAAGTAATTTTTAAAGTTTTGGCAGTCTTTATATTTATTCTCTTTTCAAGAATAGCTGTGAGTGGGTAAGGTACGTAGTTGTTGACTGTTAATCAGGAGCTTTAGAATAGATACCTTGCGGATAGGCAAGTGTGGCCAAAGCATTCTTACAGGCTTATAAAAAGGCTTCTTAATGTAAGGTTTATAATTAAGGTGTTACAAAATATAAATATGGAAATTTTAACAATCGTTAAAGAAATATTTGATTTTTACCAGGCAAGATGAAAACTGTCATCAACAGTGTGAGCCATATTTTGAATTTTATAAAGGAAAAGAGGATGTTCAGATTAGATATGGTGGGTAGAAGATGTGAATGAGAATGGAAGTGTAAGGATACTGAGTACAATTAATGCTGAAGGCCAAAAATGCATCTTAGCAGGTTTAGCGGGGGAGAAAATGTACAAAATTTGATCTGAAAAGGAAAGAGTTGTGGTGCCAGAAAAATCTTGGGATAATTGACTAGGAACGGTTGAAAATAACTGGAGGGATGTTGATGGAAAGTAGTGGCTTAGTTTATAGAAAAAAAGATTAACCATTAGTACCCATAATCAGTAAAATTTCTGATTAGATTAGTAGTCAAAGGAACCCAAGGGGACATTAGCCAGGTTGGTAATGTTGGAATAGCAGCCATGATCTAAAACCAGAGGGTTACTGAGATCCAGATAACCACTTCTCTAAGATTTTAAGGGCCTTAATGATAGTGTTATCTACACTTGGAAGTTAATGTGGAGCAGCAGCTTGATCTGACGGAAGCTCCGATTTTAAGAGTCCAGAGAATAGGACTCTAATCTCTGCTGTTTCATTAGTTATGTAACTTTGTACAGATCTATGTCTCTGAGCACAGTATACGCACTTATTTATTTTTTTAACCACAGTTTCTTTACGCTATGTGGTTGGTATCTGTCGTGGTAAATTACGGTCTTCAGTTCTCATGTTAGATGTTTGCCTTTGCATCACAGGTACCCTCTTACCAATTATACTTTTGGTACAAAAGAGCCCCTCTATGAGAAGGACAGCTCTGTTGCAGCCAGATTTCAGCGCATGAGGGAGGAATTTGATAAAATTGGAATGAGGAGGACTGTAGAAGGGGTTCTGATTGTACATGAGCACCGGCTACCCCATGTGTTACTGCTCCAGCTGGGAACAACTTTCTTCAAATTGTAAGTGTTATAAATTAACAGCAAGACAACTTTTAATGGGATTGCTGTTTATGCAGCTTTGGAATACAAGTTAGCTCTTGGTTATTTATTTCAACAAACACTGCTGTTAATGGAATCTTTAGAAAAAAATAATGAGTAATGTTTCTCCAGTGCGATCCTCATTTATTTTCCTAACTAGTAATCTTCATGTTTCTGTATGTTGTCGATGTTAATGATTGAGCCCATGGAATATAATTAGTCCAGGATCACTGTCTAGATGCCATTTTAGCATTACTAAGAACAATCGCTACTTCTTTCTTAGGATGAATGGTATTTCCTATTCTTAAAATGACATGTTTTTATAGATAAGTTTAGTTTTATCATTTAAGCTCATACATCTCTCAATAAACATTTGGTCCACAACTATTTGACCAGATTATACCACAAAGAAAGGTCTCAAATACTTAGATTGAAATTCTTGAATAATGTCCCATTCTTCGGGCCTAAAGAATGTGGTGTGTTGCTCTCTGGGCATTTCTAGACTCCATTATCACCAGATGGCTTTCAGAGAGGAGACTGGGGTGGACTGGTGGCCAGCAATTATATTTATGCTATGTTATATATTTTGTTTGTTTAAAACTAGGGTTTGTGTACTGTTGGTCTGGGGAATTGACACTGTGAGTTCACCTTTCTAGAATATTCTTCCCCCTCCCTTTGACATCTGTTTTGATTGCCTCATTATATGACACCAAAGTATGTTAATTAGTTACTTAATAGAAATAACGATTATTATGTTCTTCCTGTTATCCTCAAATTGTGTTAAGTTGAAAGCTGAAATTCTTAACCTTTGTACAGACCTGGTGGTGAACTTAACCCAGGAGAAGATGAAGTTGAAGGACTAAAACGCTTAATGACAGAGGTATTTTTCTGTTTAACCACTTTGACAGTTTTATTGCCCATCTGAATACCATCAACGTAATAGATTATTAGGCTTTTTATGTATTGTAAAAAGGATAAGTTTATTTTTGAGTATTTAGTTTTCAGTAAATACAACTTTAGCCCCAGAATGTTAGTACAATGTTTATTTTGTGCAAGTTGAACTTAGTTTATCTTAACATTTTTTAAATTGAAATGTATAACAGTGGTAGATAAAGACCATTTATTGAGTACTTACTGTGCTAGATAGACACTATTCTAAGTGCTTTACATGCAGTAACTTTTTAAAAATCACAACAGTTCTAGTAAGTAGATATTAAGTTTAAATAACTATATAATAGCTAGTGTGTTGC